TTTAGATGACTTACAGAAAGTTTTCCATGATTATGAGGCCTGAGAGAATGAACGTCGAGCGGCAAGTCAATAGCGAAATTAGATTAGATAATATAATCGAAGTAATGCTGATATCTCTGGAAAATTGGGATCATACCTGTGAATCTGTGAAGAAAATAATTGTTCAGCTTCGTAAAGAAAAATATATAAGAAAAAGTATGAGAAGTAACAGTGTTGTTTAAAATACTCATATGTTTTCAAGGTATATAGGAGGTTTATAATGTTAACAACGTTCCAGAATAGTGAAATTGTACTCAAGTGTCGATGGGATGGATTTTTTGAAATCTGAGCTGAAAAAAAAAACGAAAACTTCTAAAAGAACTAAAAGTGCTAAAAAGCACTACATATTATTGCTAGGGCAATTGGTGAAGCCAGAACCCCAAATTTGATAAGAGAGCCACTGGCGATTCCCAGAGCTACACCGAACCGATGTTCGGACTAAAAATATATACCAAAAGTACTAAATAACGCTAATTATATTGTGATCGGAAGAACAAAATCTCTAGATTTTATATGGGTTTTATAAAGGTGGATAATTAATATCAACGGATTTTAAAAAATCGAAATTTTAAATTAAATTCTAATTTGAAATTTAAAAGGATACAAAATGTACTAAAAAGAAGAAAAACTAGAAATACTGCGAATGCGCATAGGATGATATAAGACTCCCTGTTTGTGCATAGGGAAACATTGGACCTAAAATATAGCAAATATCTTACATTGGTACGGAACGATTACGAAAAGTGAAAGTTCCCAAATTGATTGAGCCAAAAATGTGTAATATATGAGCTGAGTCGATGGGATGATAATTTCGACCCAAAGAGTACATACACACCATGTATCCATCTGCCCGTCCATAATAAATTATGGTCACTATATAGGTCGAAATTATCATCCCATCCTCATGTAATTTTGTATATTAAAAAAAGTTTTGCAGGGCAATTTACAATTGCAATTATAGAATGAGTGAAGTTTTCAAAAATTTTGAAGTATTTGTAGGCGAGAACAGAAAAGCTGAGTTCAGCGTGATAGGTTTATTAACCTATCAGCGTGAATCGTTTATTAACAAGTGCAATACTGAAAATGTTGGAATTTTGTGGAAGCGGGACGAGAAGAAGTGGACCGATATTGCCCACTTTCCATAAGACAAGTTTGAAATTTGTCGAGAATTCTCTCCACTTAATGTGATATTGGGTTTTTTCTTAAATATTTTGAACTTTTCTGTGGGAGGTAGCAGAGTAAGTGGCCAATTATTGTCCATCTAATAACTCGACGAAAGTTTGAAAAAAAAAAAATACGATGCACCAAGTTTGGACCATATCGGATAAACCTTACGAGAGTTGGACAAACAGATCGACAGTCGGAGACGGCTCAAAATTTCGTAAAATTTTCTTTGTCCTTAATTCTAAAGCTATAATGGTGAGCATACAAAAACTTTTTCTGGGTAACAGAAAAAATACCAAATTCATTACAATTGCTTAATTTCCTACAATTATAATATACATTTCCAAAACCACCTCAATATCTCAATCCCAGATACTAACAGCAATCTCAATATCAAATTTCGGCATTCCAGCCCTATCCCTTCACCCAATTTAGTACAACTTAGTATTCTACGAATAATTTAGTACACATTTCCAAAACCAACTCCATATCTCAATTACAAATACCAACAAAGGCTTCACCCATCCTTTAACCCAATGCCAAATTTAGTACAATTTGGTACTTTTCGTTCAAATATAGAACACATTTCCAAATCATTGCCAAATTTCATCAGAGTTTTTGGTTTATTCCGCACCCAATATTAAATTTAGTAGAATTTAGTTCTTGTCGCACAATCAAAGACCGATTTTTCAAAATTACCTTCATATGAGAAACTCAGACAGAAGTTTATTATTAAATTTCAGGATTTCAACTCTATTCTTTCACCCAATATCAAATTTTGTACCATTTAGTTCTTTTCGTACAAATATAGGAAGCATTTCCAAATCACAGCCACATCTCAAACACAGATACCACCAGCAATCTAAATATCAAATTATATCTCTATCCTTTCACCCTATTCGAAATATAGTCCCATTCCGCACACTTCGTGCACTTGTAGTACACATTTCTAAAATCACCTCTTTATCACAAACCTACCATCAACAGGGATCCCAGTAAAAGATGTCAACATTTCAACTCCACCCTAAGCCAAACTGTTCCAAATTTCGTACCATTGGCTTATTGTTCAACTCAATCATTTAGTATTAAATTTTTAGAACATTTTAGTACTTATGTACCTATGCACTAAAACTGACGCTGGTGCAAAATTTCAAGATTCTGGCTTTAGTCGTTTCGTCTGGGTGTTGACTCTCAGCCAGTCAGTTATTTCGCCCCCTTTTTATACCCTCATGGCTATAGAGGGCATATATCAATTGATTGATGAAAACGTGCCTAAACCAAATAACGGTTTTAGACCCTAGGTCTCTTTGGACCAAATCCATTTCAGGACATTTGGCGTCGATCTAGGGATTTCCGTCCATCTGTCTGGCTGACTGGTGCACACGATAACTCTCGAAGGGAGTATCCGATTTGATCCAAACTGGGTACATCGTAATATGTTGGTCAAACTTAGATCAAGTTCGGAGATGGGCAATATCGGTCCACTCCTTCTGGTACCTCCCTCAAAAAATGTCAAAATTTCAAAAAAAAAAAATAATTTACTTAACAGAATGAGAAAGGATAATCCGATTTTGCTCCAAGTTTGCATATCCTAATATTTGCGTAAGTGCTAGGTCAGGTGTGAAAATGGGCAATATCGGTCCACTCCATCAAGTACCTCCGCCGCAAAGGGTAAATATTTTGAATAATTATAACTCTTATAAAATGTGATGTAAGTGTCCGATTGTCTCCAAATTACACATATCACAATATTTTGTCTAACCCCTGGTCTGTTGTGAAGATGGAAGATGGAAGATTGACCCACAAAGGGTCAAAATTTGGAATATTCATGAAGCTCATAAAACTCGAAATTAACATCCGATTCGATTCACTTGGCACTTGTCAAAATTTCCATCGACGCAATATCTGTTATAAAGATGATAGAGATCGGACCATTTCTTTTGGTACCTCTCCCACATAGGGTTCAAGAAAGAAAGCGAAATAAGCATCCAACTCGTTTCAAATTTCACACTCGAAATATTTTTTGCTAACGCAAGATCTCTGGTGAAAATGATATATATGTGCCAACCCCTTCCGGTATCCCACCCAGAAAGGGTCACAATTGCCAATGCTTACATCTGTCATACCTAGCGAAACAAGTCGGCGATTCTTTACGGCTTGCTATATCTAAATATTTCTCTTAACCAGAAATCTGATATGAATCAGTAATTTATCGAAATTTATGATTTCGCATAAAAGTGGATAAAAATATTCGATTTTCTTCAAATTTTCCACATACCAATATTTTTATCTGTATTTGATGATGTGTGAAAATGGAATACTTCGTTCCGCTATATTTGGTACTTCATGCATATTTCCATATTTTCACAAAAAATTCTTAGTCGATATAGTCCAAATCTGGCACGTTGTAATATTTACATCATCAGTCTTAGGTCAGATACAAATTGGTCAATATTGGGCAACATTTTCGGAACCACCTCTTTATCACAAACCTACCACCAACAGGGACCCTAGTACAAAATTTAAAAATTCCAGCTTCATCCGTTCACCCTGGATCAAACCGTTCCGAATTTCGTACCATTTAGTACAGTTCGAACATTTAGTACACATTTCCGAAGCCATTGTCATGTATCAAACCAGTATTGATTTTCATACCAAAGTTTTAGCATTATACGCTCATACAATACCAAAAGCTACCTTTTTAGAAGTTCAGTGCCATTTTAGAATTTTTCGTCACTTAATGTTCGAATTTTCGAAATTTCTTTGTCGCATCTATTTTGCAATCCCTTACCGACTCTCATTCCAACTTTCAGATATCTAGCTCATTCTATTTGTCCAATACAAAGAATTCAATTTTTAGTACTTTTTGTACCCTTTTGGTACGAATTTTCTAAAAACCTATTACATACCTACGCACCAAGACTGAGACTCGTGAAAAATTGTAAGATTCTACCTTAAGCCGTTTCGTCTGGGCGTTGATTCTCGCTCAGTCAATCAGTTATTCACTACTCTTTTATGAATAAAGATTTACCAAATGTTCTTCTTCTCCAACCCCTCGTCAAATGCAACAGGGAACTTTTCTGCAGAATATTAACAACTCAATTCAATACACATCCGAATGAATAGAGAAATGGTCAATAAATACATTTTCCGGTTTGTTTTTTCTCTATCTCTTCCTTTTCTTTTTTCTATTTTTCTTCCATTTTATTTATTTCCGATTGCATTTGCTTTCATTACTGGATGCTGGTAATATATGTTCGCAATAACAACGACAACAATGCTACAATTACTTGAAAACAACAACATGGATGGACGGACAACATCATCCTTCTTGGCCCTCAACAATTCTGGTTAAAACTCTAAAACACCGGTCTTTGTCATTTGTTGGGTGGTCAATTGGAATTTGTTGCGGCTATCCTTGGTCCTTATGAACATTTACAACTTGTCATCATCATCTTCGACGATGTTGTTGTCAATGTCATTTGGTTTGTCCGACAACATCTTATCTTATCATCTGGTATTGGCTGGGTTACATATGTGTGTGTGTGGATCAATTGGATGCTGTGTTACTTCGTCTCCATCTCCTGTTCGCCTTAAATCTTTGATTTACTGGATGGTTCCTAATGACTGCCACTGTGATGATGACGATGATGCTGCTACTGCCAATGTTACTTACAATTCATCCTTGTGGTCCTGCAATTTTCTAATAATACCAATAACTCAACCATTTCATTCAACCATCCCCAACCAACACCATCATCACTGCCCTCAACATCCATCCACTCAATCGTCATCAGACTTATGTCCAAGATTTGATTGAACTGGAATTCGATTCATTGTACAATTTGATTGTGGAGCAACGTGGCCACATCTATGTGTGCGGCGATGTCACAATGGCTGAACATGTATATCAGACGATACGGTAAGTAAAGTTCCAATCCGCAAAGTGATTGAAATGCGTATAAATTTTGTATCCATTCAACCATCCATCTATACGCAGTCAATCGGTAAGTATCTTTTATGATAGAAGATAGTTCTGAAAGATTTGATCTGACAGTGGATATTACACGAGTGAATTGTGGTGGGCGATTTAGATGAAAAATGTTTGGGGGAGTAATGAAGATAAAGTGCAATACTTAAGGGAGAGGATATTGATATTCTAATTAGATTGGATAACATGATTGTACATACAACAAATGATCTGTGGAAAAATCTACTGTGGTTGTTGTGTACGAAATTCGGATTGTCAATTTACAAGTGGAAAAATTTTTAATAGACCTCTTCTAGTGAAGACTTTAAGGTTTTCTAGTGAAGACCTCAAAGACTTCAGGGGAAGACCTCAAGGTCTTCCAATGAAGACCTCCAGCTCTTCCAGTGAAAACCTCCTGGTCTTCTAGTGAAGACCTCCAGCTCTTCCAGTGAAGACCTCCAGGTCTTCTGGTGAAGACCTCCAGCTCTTCTAGTAAAGACCTCCAGCTCTTCTGGTGAAGACCTCCAGCTCTTCTGGTGAAGACCTCCAGCTCTTCTGGTGAAGACCTCCAGCTCTTCTGGTGAAGACCTCCAGCTCTTCTGGTGAAGACCTCCAGCTCTTCTGGTGAAGACCTCCAGCTCTTCTGGTGAAGACCTCCAGCTCTTCTGGTGAAGACCTCCAGCTCTTCTGGTGAAGACCTCCAGCTCTTCTGGTGAAGACCTCCAGCTCTTCTGGTGAAGACCTCCAGATCTTCTGGTGAAGACCTCAAGGTCTACTAATGAAGACCTCAAGGTCTTCTAGTGAAGACCTCAAGGACAACTAGTGAAGACCTCCAGGTCTTCTACTGAAGACCTCAAGGACTACTAGTGAAGACCACCAGGTCTTCTAGTGAAGACCTCCAGGTCTTCTAGTGAAGATCTCCAAGTCTTCTAGTGAATACATCCAGGTCTTCTAGTGAGGAGCTCAAGGTCTTCTAGTGAAGACCTCCAGGACTTCTAGTGAAGACCTCCAGGTTTTCTAGTGAAGACCTCCAGGACTTCTAGGGAAGACCTCCAGGTCATCTTGTGAAGACCTCCAGGTCATCTTGTGAAGACCTCCAGGTCTTCTAGTGAAGAACTCTAGGCCTTTTTGGAAGGCTAGCGTGAGAATCAGCGACACCTACAGACATATGCACAGATGGACGGGTCTCAAGTGTTCAAAACGGATTTCATCCAAATATGCAAAAAGAATTTATTTTTCTATAAGAGATCTTACAACACTCTTACACAAAAAAAGTTCCGCAAAAGTCTTTTTGCTGCATATGAGCTCCAAAATAGCCCATATCTGTAGGCATATGGCAGGCTTAGAAATGTTATTATATCCGCAGAAAGTCGGTAAAATTACTTTTGTTTATTGAAGACCTATACAAGATATTCTCTCTCCATAGAAGACCTCTAAATGGCGTCTGTTGAAAAATATGCTGTGAAATGGCTTCTTTCAGAAAGGGCAACTATGAGGTCTTCTTTTTATTGAAGACGTGATCAAGTTCTTCTTTAGTGAACAATCTTTATAGATTTCATTCATTTCTTCAGGATACAGAAAATCGTTTAATGGTCTTCCATAGGTAACCGACAGGACCCATCTGCAAACTTACAGGATTTACAGAGATTTTTGAGGTCTTCCAAGTTAGAATTCGTTTAAAAGGCCATTTGGAGAACATTTACATTACTTCCATTCGTAGAATACTTTGTACTACAATAGGGTAAGTATCGTGTAACAAGACATGTAACTTGTACAAATTAGAGACCCTTAACAGGGGTTTATGCTAGGATTTCTTCTACAGATAGAATACGCATTACGCTCTTTCACATATGAAAGACTTTTGGCGTATCTTCTGTATATAGAGAAACCATCTGTCCATCTTCATATTTTCTACCTTCTTCAACTACGGTACTTCAATGTTTCCAAATATACACACACAAATATATTGATAACCATTTATGGATTTATATCATCTGTACTGCCCATCAATGTGTCCATCTCTATATTACTTGTCGGACATGCCATTATCTGGATGTGTGAATGGGTGATAAGTTATAAAATAACAATAAAGTAAATATCCGTTAAGAGAGAAAACCCATTACTTTTACTATCGGAAATATTCTAAGCATTTTTCAACATCATCTCCACTAAATTTAAAGGACATCAAGATGCTGTAGGAGAATGAGAAGATAAATGGTCAATAACTTCATTTTCATTTCAAAAGTGTAATAAACTAAAGCACCTTAGTATCGAATGAGTAAAGACATTTTATGGGCAAAAATAGGTGGTGGGTACGGAACAATGTCTTGTAGTTTAAAGAAATATTCTATGCATCTCTTATATTACAAAGAGATAATGCCAAATAGGATTTCATGGAAGGAATATTTTGTCCCTGAGTAATTTTGCAAATATTACCTCATTTATGAATGGAATAGATATTACATTTTTCGTAATTATGAGATTTCAATCAAAGCCACTCGTCCGGCAGCTGTTAAAATTATTCCTGTGACAGCTCATTATATTGTTTACAAGCGTACAATAGCCATTTGGTGAGAATTTTCCAGAAAAAAAAAAAGTTATTCGTGATGGAATTCAAGCGTGATGGGATGATTTCTTCATATTTGGCTGGAAAACCACAAGTGGCTATCGTTAGAGCACTCCAGCATTTAAATGTGAATAAATTATTTGTGTCTCGTACCTTCGCTCGTTACCGTGATACTGGTAACGTAGCCCGACGTCAAGGAAGTGGACGGAAGAAAACAACAACATCAGCATAAATGGTTCGAAAAGTAAAGGAGCGACTTGATCGAAACCCGCGTCGCAGTGGCCGAAATATGGTTCGTGAGCTGAACATATCGCAATATTCCATTCGGCAAATATTGAAAAATGAGGTCGGCCATTCAAATTCAAAAAAGTGCTAGAACTTACACCTCAAAGGAAAGAAAATAGACTTAAAAGAGCTAAATAGTTGCTTCGCTTGGCCGAAAATGGGTTTCTCCGATGGGAAAACATTCGTTGTCCAGCAGTTTGCAAACAAACAAAATGATCCTGTTTACTTGCCAAAGAGGTCAGCTGAACATGTGCACCTTCGGTTGGCAATTAGAACTCAAGTGCCGGCCATGGTGATGGTGTGGGCCGCCATAACAATCTATGGTCGCTCTCCGCTCGAATTAATCGACGTGGTATCAGAATAAATGCCGGATCCAAATATCAAATATTTCAAAATCAAATATTCAAAAATTCGTAAATATGTCAATCCTAAACTCTCATAGTAATCCCAATTCCAAATTTCCGGATTCCACCCCTATCTTGTTCATTCAAATCCAAATTATATACAAATTTTGTATCATTTTGTACACATAAGTACGACTTTCCAAAATTTCGTGCATAACGAAATCGTACAATGCAATAGTAGTCGTATTTTCAAATTTCAGGAATCCAACTCGATGGGTTCTCAAAAAATTTAAATTGTACCAAATTTAGTAACATTTAGAACACATAAGTACGAATTTTGTACACATAAGTTCGAATCATCATTCCTGCTCTGTAAGTTCACCCAAATCGAAATTGTACCATATTTAGTACCGTTTAGTACTTTTCGTCCACTTATGTATATACAAACTTCGAAAACTTCCTCCATATCCCAAATCCTACACTCTGGCAGTAATGCTAATTTCAAATTTCAAGATTCCAGCTCCAGTCGTTCTTCTAAATTCAAATTGTACTAAATTTAGTACGGTTAGTACTTTTCGTATACATGAGTACACAAAACTACCTCCTTACATCGACTCTACTCCTCAACCTGGATTCACATTCCAAATTTCACGTTTTTAGCTCTAACCGTTCACATGATGCAAAATGGTACCAAATGTAGTACATTTTAGTACTTTTCGTACGCTTATAGTGCGAATTTCCAAAATCCTTTGGTGTATGCGTAGTAGACTTCATCAGTGACCCTAATTCCAAATTTTAGAGTTCTGTATCTACTGCTTCCTAAAATACAAAGATTACCATATTTAGTACCTTTTAATACTTTTCTTACCGTTTTAGTACGAATTTCTAAAAACCCAGCCTCAACTGACCTCTTCGGACCAAGAGTGACCCTCAACCAAAATTTCAAGATTCAGTCAGTCTTTTACATATAAGGACCCATATATTTTTTTATACCCTCCATCATAGTATTCTTGGTCAGCATATAATTTAATGTTTATTGAATGACCTTCCGTCTGTGGAAATCACTGTAGCTTCCGAACGAACTGAAGTAGGTTGATAAAATGTGTGTTTGGTCTGCAGGACATTTGATATGGAAAATGGGCTATATAGGCCTACGTGTAGCTATAGTCCCCATATAACTGTACCTCCGTACATTCGGTATTATGATGATTTTAGCGACAATATTCACCGGAATTGTATCACAGTACAGGGTACTACAGTCTATGACAAAAACTTGTCTATGCAGGTCCAGGTCTTCGTATAGCCCCATATAACGGTACCTTCCCTATATTCGGCATTTTTATGATTTTAGCAATATTATTTGCCGTAATTTTTTTTTTTCAAATTTCGTATTTAAAGTTCCTATGCCAAAAAATTGTCTATTCAGGTCTTTTTGTAGCCCCTAAAAATATCGGTACCTCCTCATATATTCGGTATTTTGATGTTTTTGCGACATTATTCACCGGAATTGTGACAAGTTTCGTATTTGAGTATTGTAATGGCCTATGACAAAATGACCCCAATATTAACTCTCTATTTTCGGTATTTTTAAGATTTTAAAGAATTTTTAATGGATTTTACTTTTTACTTTATTTATTTTTTTTTTTTGTCCAAATGAAGGAGGGTATTTAAAGTTCGCCCTGTCGGGAATTTTTTTTATTGTAGAGGGAGAAAGGTGTGAAAGGATCATTCGACTTGCTTATTCTTGTATTATTATA